CCATTTAATTTTTATTTGTGCTTATTGTGCATACATGTCTTTTATTTTGTCCATTTTAGTCCAAAAATTAAAAAAATGTTTCAATTTAGTTTATCTTTTTTAGGTTTCCCTATTAAGACTTAAACATAAAGATAGTAAATAAGTTGAATTAAAACCCCAATGTTAAAGTATGCAACCGTGTTTAAATGGAGGATTGTAAGGTGCGCGTATGCCCTTCCTCACTCCTAATTGAACCCCCGAACCCCGATCTCTGTGTAGACCCGTTTTAGCTGACTTGTCTCACCTTATAATTTAAACGAGTGGCGATTCCCCTTTTCTTTTATATTTTTCACACTTGATTTTCAATTTATTTTGAAAAAAATCTTAAGTGGTCATCAACAAATTGGCGACTCCACTGAGGATTGAATCTAGAATCTTTGGTTTTCATGTTCTGGATTCACGAGGGTCGAGCTAATATTTTAACTTTGGGGAATTTTTTAGCTTTTGATTTTTCTTTTGTTTGTTGAGTCTTTGTGGGTCTTTGTTACTCGTCGCATGTGCTCCTTGCTTGTTCTTTGTTTCTTGTTTGCTTGTTATTTTGGTGGTTGCTTTACTATTTTGCTTTTGAGTAGTTATTTGGCTACATCTTGGCATGCATCATATCTTGCTTACATGTTCATGCATCATATCATCTCACATGCTCATACATCATATCATCTCACATGCTCATACATCACTGATGTTACATGCTTATTCATCATGCATCACTGATGTTACATGCTTATTCATCATGCTTACATGCTTCCGTGCTTGTATGTGAATGTGCTAACCTTTTGCATTTGGCATGGGAGTACGAGGTGAGTTCCTTCCTGCTGTGTAAGTTGGTTTGTTTGTGGGTGTTATATTTGTTGAGTGTTTTACATTCTTTATTTGCTTGTTTGCCTTATTTGCTTGCTGTGAAATATATGTTGCTATTTTTGTGGTTGCTTTTAGTGTCATGCCCCTTGCACACACTCACTCTCATTTTGCATTAGGTCCGTGTCTGAGGTGAACCCGACCTCTAGTCTGGAATCCTTATGAATCTGGCTTGGAAGAGCAATTATTCCCGCTTTGAGGAGTAAGATCGATTCTCGTTAGGTTGTTTCCATTGGTTAATACAACACCTGATGATGTAATATCATCCTATGTATTAGCATTTGGAAATATCTCCCATGGATTCTGAAAGGATAAATGGTTGAAAAAGCCTAATGCCCTTTAGGAAAGCATGCAGTGAACTTAAAGAGAAACCACCCATAGGACTTGTCAGCCTAGAAAGCCACCAGTGAGGTTAGGATTCCCTATGTCTAGGTACACAAGGGGGCATTTTACATCTTACCTTACTTTCTACATTTGCAGGTATTCATTGAGTCAACCATGTCAAGTATCATGACATCCATCACGTTCATTCACGCACTTTGCCTTTCACTTTCTACTCAATACTACATGACACCATGCACTTTGGCACTTTCACTTTCTATTCCATACATCATTAAAAAAATTGCATAATTGTTTTACATGTCATCAACCTTTCACATGTCGTATGTTCATTACATTGCATTTTCATCCCATGCATCACAAAATATGTTTTCATGTTCATTTCACGTGACATTCTCCATTTCATTTTTCATCTCATATTTCACAAAATTTCAAAAAAAAAAAA